ACGATTTTGTTTTAACAAAAAACATAATAATTGAAATAGGGTAATTTTAAATAAATCTATAAATGAAATAAAATGAAATTAAAATTAAAAATTAAAATGAATATAAAATGAAATAAACGGCATTGTAAAATGAATATCTCCCTCGCTATGAACAGAATTTAACATTTCATTTATATTTCATGCATTGTAATGTATGCATATTCTATAAACATACTGTTCTTGGTCTGATTTATTGTCTGATTCATCGTCTGATACATCCTCGTAAATGTTAGCCAGATCCTTTCTTCTTTCAGGATCGGCCAAAAATCTATAAGTTTTTGTCCCAAACAATATACTGTTAAACTTAACATAGATTGTATCGGATCTCACATCCCGCTTGAATGAACAACGAACTAATTGTTAAAAAATATAAATAGTTATGTTAAATAGCTTCATATATAGATAGTGAAAATACAAAAATTACCAGTAGGAAAATGATTTTACAACATATTGTATTGAAACACTTAATGTATAAAGAAAAAGTAAAAAAAAATGTCAAATACTGATTTTCGAATATAACAAACCAATAATATTGCCATTTATATTATCGAATAAGTTGCATTAAACGTTTCAAAGGAAAACAAAGAGTCTCCTCGGATACTAAGGAATGGTTAGGTATATTGAAAGAGAACCATATGGTAAGAAAAATTAACCTGAGCAAAGTTCGGTAATACGTATTTTCAAATACATCCATTTTACGTTTTTCGCAATCATTTTATTTTAAAACGCTTAAAAACCCACAAACATAATATTGTTTATTCAAAATAACTAACACATTAAGACAAAACAAAAACGTCGAAAATGTCAAATACCTATGTATAACTCAGAGAAACTTTAAAACTTTTACCGTGTATAGAAAAGGTCAATATCTGTGTATTCTGTTAAAACTGATTAGGTTGGGTAAAACCAATTTAAATTCCTCGATTTTCTTAGAATTTGAAATAAAATGACCACATAACGCTTAACAATTAAGTTCTGACTATTCCAAGGAATTTTTTAGTTTTGTTTGATGTCCGTTCGATTGTTTGCCTATCAACTATTTTTTGAAATTTTACCGAAAGTTGGACGTTATATTGTAATTATAATCATATTACCATATTATGTTTATCACTTGTAAAATGCCGGGCGCCGTGCCACTAAACAAATAATGCTTTACTACTCCCACCTTACCTAAATTTAAAACTAAAATTTCTTTAAGTAGCGGTTTTATGTATTGAAAAATTATGCATATGTAATAGGTATATAATATCTGTGATCATTATAATATGTACAATATTGTATGTAATTTAAACAAAAATAACGCGATTAGGTAAGAGGAATCAATGTACTTCAGTTAAGATGATTTTTCGATATTTATGTTAATTAATGAAATATGAATATGTTGAATATAATAAATCAAAAATATTTATTATATATTACATAAAAATTTAATTCTGAATAAACACAACTGTGGGCCATTTAATAATCTTCTTACCTTTAATTTGTGTAATAGGTCAATTTACTTTAATGTAATCGCTTGAATGATATTATCGAAGTTAGTATATATGTGTATATATATATATAAANGTTGAATATTATAAATCAAAAATATTTATCATATCTTACATAAAAATTTAATTCTGAATAAACACAACTGTGGGCCATTTAAAAATCTTCTTACCTTTAATTTGTAAAAAAAGTTTTCATAGTTCATTAGGGGGAGAGGGATTCACCTTATAAATTAAATTTTCTCGGGCATGATCCGAACTAAATATCTTGCCTATGGATACAGGATTGCATTATCAAATCGCCGCTCACCTTACCGCCAAATAAATTACTTCTACTACTCTCCTCTAACCGAATATTAAAAGTGAGATTTGTTGAAGAGATACGTCAACAAATCGATGAAAATCAAAAATGTCGGTAGTAAAATTTGCTTTGACTAATACTCCATCTATTTATGGAATTTTTACTATAGGAAGCCATTTGAAAATCCAACCATTACGGTTTTCTCCCAAATATAAGGGTGAAATAAATAAGTATACAATTTTAGAGTAGCTTGTATCTTATTGGATCACCAAAGACTTTAATAAAAACGATAATTATATTAAAAGTATTTTAATCAGGCTTTGTAGGGTATAAGTAACAATAGATAATAAAGAAAAATAAACTATATTATATTCCAGGAAATCGAAACCTCCACATCTTTTCGCCGTGCGCGAGTCGATATTTTGATATTTATGCCATCGTCTCTTAAAACATCAGTACCAGTCCGTGCTACATTTAACTATCTTATTCCGTGGTAAACACAGGGTCAGTGTACAATAACCTGCATTATTTCCATTTTCATTTTATGTTTGGCCACTCAATTCCATTAATTTTTAACAGTTTGCATAGTATATTTAATTAACTACCAAAATTGTTCGATTAGTACACGGTTTTCCCTGTCATAATCAAGTGTGTTCTTATTAAATATTTATCGGTAAAATATACAATACAAATTATAAAATAGAAAGTTATAAAGACTTATAATAATTTTAATATACTAACTAAAATATTACCATTCACGTTCGGTATTTGCTATGTAATAAATTGTTAAATTGTTAAATTATTTACAATATTATTGATTGCATGACTAAAGATATGTGTTTACTTTTTTCAGATTGGTAATATAATTATTCAATTCTCCCCAGGTTGGAGTTACGTTTGTAGCTATGTCTGAGGTAACGGCATAGGCTATATCTTTAGCTAAGTCAGGTAAACGCTGCAATATATATTTTTCATTTTCAAAAAAATGTTTTGGTATATTTGTTTTATCATCTTTTAAGTCTGTTTCCTGTGTGCTGTAAAATTCAGCCTGTAGCTCATGTTCTGTAGAAGAATAGGTTGGTGTTTTTTCAATATC